ATGTGCCATATCATACAACATGTTCAAATTGGAGTGTGATTTTGTTTATTTTGTTTTTAAGAGTACCTCCAAAATACGAACCATCCGACAGGCTGGTGGCTATTTCTCCATCTCGTGTGACAATGTCGACGATACCTTCTTGAATGAAGTACATCTTAGATCCAATAGTACCTTCCTTGATAATTAGATCACCCGGTTGAAAGACTTCGTAGCGCAGTTTGACCACCACCTCCGAAACGAAGTTTTGGTCGGCAAAAGTGAAAAAAGGAACGGCGGCTACAAGAGCCCGGCAATTGTAATTGATTATTTGCTATAAAATAAAGAGAGGAAAAGCGTACCATGTAAATTATTATTCAGAACGAAAATGCAAGTGTCAGATAACAAATAATTTTCATCATAATCGTAACAATTACAGTTATGTTTAACGCATTTTCTTGTATACTCAAACTTGAGTAAGGAATAAATCAAAAGCAAAAGTGTCTTCAATCCCAAAATGATGTTCACTATCATCATTTTGAAACCCAAGGAATCTCGGTGCATTGGTAGTGAAAATACACACAAAAATATATGCGTTTTGAGGACCACGGTGATATCACCAGATAAGTGAAACCGGTTTGATGACGGTATTGCCGCGTAATCTTCATTGTTTTACCGCATTCCAAAATAATTGAAATGTTTTTAATTTACTTTTCCTTTCAGCTGTTACATACTTTCGTCAAGGATTATGAAAAACTGCTCATTTCTCAAGATGACGGATATTCATTTTACCAGAAATTTGAGTGCAAACTCACATGTTTATTCGATACTAATGATTAGAAGAAACATTTTTTGTGCACGATAATGAACTGTTTTTCTTTATAGAATTAAGTTGACCACGATAATGGAAGAAAGCGGGGTTGAACTAGTTATTTTATTGAGAAACCTGAAAACGGATAGTAACGATTGCCTTTTCACGTTCTGTCCTATTACTGAGTTCAAGTTCCCGTCTGTTACTTATAACTGTTTTGGGTTGTCACTGTCAAGGAGTCAGCACACTCCCGTAAGTACTGCATTTTCAGACAACCAATCAAAACAAGGTGCATGGTCCGAACCATCAGCCAATCAAGACGGTTGACAACAACGAAGTCAACCAATCGTTTGGTATATGCATTCTCATGCCCTTCATGTTCCCTATAAATAATCATGCATTTTGAGTAATAAACGAATTTCTACGCGTTTCCAGTTCTGTTCCATTTCACCACCTGAGTACTGGCTATCTAACCGAGAAAGGTTATCGGAAAACGATCAATTGCGAATTCAGTATAACAATCAAAATATGGGTACTTATTTGGGTTCATTTTTTAGTATTAATTTGAGGCAGCGATGCTATTCTAATGTAAAATACATCATTGAAATCCAAATGAACAGATGTGAGCATATACTCCCAATTGGTATTGCGTAAGAATTATTTCGGTTGTTTTGCACTAGACTTATTGTTTCAATGTTTGTAGTGCTTATTTTACAGATTTTATCACAAATGTTAGTTACTCATTTTTGACGAAATGTGTCAGCCTTTTCCCTGAATCTATACAAAACAAACTTTATTTTGTCCCATATCGAACATATTTTGTTTACTAAAAGCAGGAAATTGTATAGCGCATTTGAAACTGAGATATTAGAGACATCCTATTAACAATGGTTCTACAAGTAAATCCGAAACAAATTGAAGAATGAGCCCATTTGCTATGTTTACACCTGATACATAGGTGTTCTTTTTCAGTCTCAAAATCTATAACCGATGTGACTTCCATTTAACAGCAAGTTTACGATACATCTACTAGGCAAACGTTGGATTTCGCATATTTGAGTACTACCACACCACGACCAACTCAGTCTTTCTTTTATTGTTATTATTTGCTTTGCGGTTTTTTCGTTAAAATCTCCATCTTGAAAATTCATTTCACATTTATATTTTCCGTAAATTGTGAAATTATTGTTTTTCCAAATGATAAGTCTATTAGGGTCGAGAATACCACCGGTTAATAAAAGGGTTTCAATGTGAGAAATTATTACAAAACTTGAAACACATTTCAAAGCTCTGGATTGTTAGTACTCTTTCTACTGCACATAATTTGGAAAGGTTTGCCATCGCACTACTGAATATTTCATTGTGTATTATGCCCCAGGCATTTTTGTAATATATGTGTCACGCCTTATTATGGTATGAAAAATAATGTTTGATGCGCTAAACCACACAATTTAAACAATACATAGCTCGTCATATGATTTGGTACATTGACCAAAATGCGATTTATCGAAAAATGTGATTCCTTTGGTCTGTTTTTGGACAAATACCGCAAAGTGACCAGCGGCAAGTAATAAAATGAGAGTGAAATAGAATAAAATAAAAACAAATTTTTACTTGATTCCATGGAAACCGGAGCTGACCAGGCACTAGCTCGACCATGTTGGTCATAAAGTACAATCGATTTCACCGACAACCGACTCCAAGCATTTCGAATTCCGGAGCTTCATTTCATAAACCAAACTCTATCAAACACTAAACAATTGCGAATGAAATGCTCAACGACCGAATACCAATCGGTTTCCTAGTGCTCCCACTTAGCGTTACGCACGTTGTCCCTTTTGTCTGACGCGAAATTTATTGAAATTGAATGTGGAATGCTAGCTATAGGACGGTGTGATATTGTAGTTGTTAGTATTTGTGCCCGAATAGCGGCATCGTCAGCAAACGGTTAGGCACATCAAATCAAGCGGTACATAAACGGGTCAGCAGAGATCGTAGGAAAAATACAGGTGCGTTGATCTTACACGCACATTATACATATATAGTGTATTTCTGCTAGCTTTACTTCATCAGAAAAAGTAGCTCAAAGGCCCGAAATGTTGTAAGATGCAAGTTGAGAGTGAATTTCCTAAAACACCGTAGTGGATGGCTGAACGCAAGTTCTTCTGTCCTAGATAACACCAGCATTTGAACCTAGGTACATTGCTTGCATGACTTCAGCTTCATAATACGTGTGAGTTACGCCGTTCCCAGGCGCTTCTCACATTTGTTTTGCACATTTGTACATGTTTCTCAGACAAAATCTGTTTCGTTGGACTGTTTAACGAAAATACAAACTCATTTCGTATGTATCTTGGGCGATCTATCCAACAGAAATTTTTCGTCGTATCCATTGGACAAGTTAGACCACTGTGTATCACACATTTCGTTGGTTACATCCTCCCTCATTACTAATTATGAGTTTTTTTAATTTATTAGCGCATTAGAATATTAGTTAATTCAGCTGAATCAATGCGTGACTGCGTTTAATTTAAATAACTGCTCCATTTTCAACGCCAAATAATTGTGCGCCAATTCAATTCAGCCGCGGCTCTGATGAGTTATTTACTGTGCCAATAATCTTTGTGTTCACTTTTCCACACATCAATGAAAACATTACATAATAAAAGAATATCCCTACGAGGGGACAAATTCTATCGGGAAAAAATGGACTTTGGTTAGCCTGATTTTAAAACAGCTCAAAATGTGCTTACCTCTTTTAGACATTCGGACAATTCATTTAGTATTTCGTTCTCATTGAACATTTTCCCTTGATATCGATGCTCGTAGTAGTTGGCAATGCGTTGTCGAAGTGCACGGGGCAGCTTCCGAAAAGCCATGTATTCGTCAACTTGCTTGAACTAAAAGTTAATGAGAGACAGGGTTTTGTTGACTGAATAGAAAATGTTGAGAGTACAAGAATAATTGGACAACCACTGATCTTATAAATCACGGTGTAATGACAATCAAGCAGAAGCTTTTAATGAAAATGATAAGTAAATCACGTTCAAGCACGATACAATCAAACTTTAATTGTCTAGAAAGGAAGTGTCCGGATAACCAACCAACCATGTTCGGTGATTGTTACAAGCCACAACCAGGCGCTGAAGGCTCTCAGTGAAACAGGTCAGATAGTTTCCGGTTGTGTAAATCAGTAGATGCTTGGTAAATATTCTAGACATTGTCCCGGTAGTTTGAAACGTGAATGTGTGATTAAATCACCGGTTTCGGCAGTTATTGCACCTCATAAGTTTAACGAAGGGCCAGGAAAGTCACGTCTGTACAATACAGCATGTTAGATATTGTGTTTCTATTCTTCCCAGGTCTACGCCAATTTCACACTGTATTTTTAAGTGGTGTAGTCAAAATGAGACGAAAGGAATCGAGTCATTCAGGCATGCCAAGAAGTATACAAGTTTAAAAAAGACGAACCATCACGAAACGTTGAGCAACATAAGAAATAAAATTGTGATTTGTGCATCACATTATATCTCATTCTGTTTATCAGCATTCACAGCGATGTATAATATTGACTGACTATAGAGTACAGATTCATATGTAACATAAAGTGCAGCCGATTGTTACGCAAAGAATTATCACAAAAAACCTGTGTCGGCCATCCACCACCACATCTGAACTGAGTCGTCCGTGAGGGTGATGATCGACAGAAGAATGTTGTGTTTGATCGTTGAAGTGTATATAATGCAACGTCGGTATCTAGGCTTGCTAAAGTCTCGCACATTTAATTTCTACTGATGACAGAATGTACCTGTCTGGATGTTAGCATCTTCATTTGATTACTCAATTATGGCCATTTTTAGACAACCAACATTGTTCCAACATTGACTAGGCTGCATTGTAGTCTTCCTATTGGTTTATAATGAAGATAACCAATCGATTTTTGGATTATGGTTTCCGGTTTACGGAGAACCAATGAATTCCTATCTGTTTCCGCACGCACCTTTTGATAAATTTTCAACCTTTTCAGTTACGTTAATACTACGTTTATGAAGGGTTGTGTTTGATTCGTAATGATGAAAGGAAAATAAATTTTCTGCGCCCGCCTGAAAGATCTTTATGATACAAAGTGTTATCGGTTGCGGCATCAGGGTTGAGTGATAGCGGACACATGTCAAACACGTTACAAAAGAACTACAATGAAATAACTGTTCTTTTCTTCGAGGATAAAGAAACTAGACTGAATGATTAGGTGTCACAGGAAAAGCGGTCACCAAATAAGTTTTTTTTTCAAGACACAATAATGAAAAGACTTGAAGAAAAAAATAAGAATGAGAGCACTTATCAATTTCTCTAACCGTTGCATCTTAATTGACTTCATCGTAGCTTACAAGATCAGCCGTATTACGGAGTAAAGATTTGCTCTACTCCGTTTTGGAAACAACGTTTATACTTATGGAGCAGATCATCCAGAAAAGGCGATAAAATAGGAAGGATTTCTGTTATCCATGAAACATCGTCTTCAGGAATCAATGTTAAATATTACTTTCATGGGCTACATATGAATGATCTCTGGGATTATTATTTCATACGAAAATGTGCCCAGGGAAGTAAGTTTGCTGTGTTCTGTTCAAATGGAAACAGTAGTTAGCGCTTGTAGCGAAGTTGAGGGTTTTTCTCTTAAAATCGCTGTAAACCACAACGCTTGATGAGGAGGATTCGGGAGACTGTTTCTACTTTATGAGCAGATATTTCGCCTCAAGATCTCATAACTACGGCGTGGAGATTATGCTTCATTCATGTATTTTACCGATCAATGATTCGATTTTACCTTCTAGTGTGTATGTATGTATGTATATTTGTATTTGAACTAGGAAAACACCCTAATTGATGTCCATCAGAAGGAAGCCTTAAAACTAGTGTTTGTGTCTGCGTGTGGTTAGTTCCGTTTACACCCTATGCATTCGACGTGTCTCATGTCATCTCGAACCAATTATTTGTGAACACTTGTTAATCTTACATTTGACGAAGTAAATATATTTCTTTCAGATGTTAAGTAGATTAACATGTTTATTTTGCTCTATAACATCACAAAGTCAGCTAGATTCGGAAATAAATACACGGATTGAAATTAACCCATCGAAAGCTTAATTAAAATTTAGTTATCGTGAATTGTTGTTATTGACTAATCTGTCAACTAATAAAATGCCGATTCAAATACAATTATATTGAAGAGCTTATGGTAAAAAGTAATTTTATTTTTTCGGAAGCTCGATTTGTTTAGTAGCTGCCTCCCGTTTAGCACCGCTGTTTTTCAGCGTCAGCATTATCACCGCATCTCGTCGGTTCTACTCAATCATCATTGTCTCAGAGGAACGCGAACCAGTAAGGAATAGAACTTCAGCTTTGAATTAGCAAACACTCAGTGATCATTTACACCCAATGAAAATAAAAGCTATGAATTATTGACTTTCAGCCAACATGCTTAAAGTGCCCACATGGAGCTTAGGTACTCCCATTCCATCCATGATACAGGTTGTTTTGTTTGAAACTTTTAATTTTTTAATTCTTTGAAAAAAGCTGCAGTTCTCCTAAGCTTTTTAACAATAAAAATTGCACGTTGACAAACGACGGAATGTTGGAACATTTCTTACGCGAAATAATGTTACGATGCTCAAATGTGTAGCTTCAATCAATGGTTTGCTGTAGGGATGTATGGATGTATTTCTGGTGAAACACGTTAGGTTTTTCACCCTAGGTAGGAATATGTGCTTACTTTTTATTTTATGTTTTAAATTTTTTATACGTACTGTCACACCAGTTAGAAAACGCAGTTGCTGTTCCTGACTGCTTTTTCCCCTAATAATTACAGCTGTGATAATTTGAACCCGTGAACTGCGTATAGTTTAAATCTGGAGGTGTATTGGGTGCCCAATTGTTTCAGTGCTTATTTGTCTAACTCATGAACATAAAAATTCATACAATAAAGCATAGTTAGTACCAGGTGCTTGTGTGTACCGAAATACACGATAATGGAAATCAGAGTATAGTATTAAGGGGGGGGGTATAATCTGTTACCATACAAACCTACCTTTTCACGGTACATGCGTTTGGAACAGTCAAAAGATTGAATTAGTGCTGCAGCATGACCAACGAATAACGCGTATCCGGTTGCACCGGTTACCATGCTGACAACGGTTACCCAGGCCTCGTTCAAGCTTGTTGGTGGATAACGACCGTAACCAATGGATAACATGTGTGACATGGCTTTGAACAATGCCCATGTGTACTGATCAAACCAATGCGCATTCTGTAGGCAGATGTCAAGGGAACCATGCAGGTGGTCAGTTGACGAATCTATATAGTTACTCAATTTTCACGGTGACTGTCATGCTGTGAGCATGACAGTAGGATGATACAAATCCACTACACACATAAACCTCACTAGTAAGCAGTGCAGTATATTTCTAAACTACAGTGTGAATAAGATAGGTGCACCTAGAGAACATTACCTCACGCGCCATGATTAGGATGGGAAAGTGGTAGGTCCACAGAAACCTCTAACTGTTATGGACAAAAGGTGTGAAGACACTATTCGTATTCATCTTCCTAATTGTACGGTTAAGTGTGATCACATGATCACGGTCATACAATGAAACCTTGTATAAATGAAATTTTACGAAGGAGAGTAACAATAGGAAACTTTTCAGTTTTATATTCATTTTACATAAAATCTATATCACTGGAAAGAGTATTTACGATTTAGGTACAGATTTAGATATATGAATCTGAGAAGAACGAGTGTGAGGTTAACTTCGAAGGTGCGGTATAGAAAAAACATGAAACGAAAAGCAGCCAAGAGCACATTGAGGCTTATGTATTCTCAAATTTATTAGTTGTTTTGAACGCAGAGTTAGATGGAACTTGCATCTTACAATGGAAAACACGTGTATCCATTGTGAACGGGTTGCTCTTCGTCTTTATCTCAGTCTAAATCCGGTGATTGGTGTGTATTATGCAAAACACCATTTCTCCTATGTTTTCTACCATAAATGTCACAGCATGGCTTAACTTATGCTGATTAGTCATAAAATAAAGAGCACTAGGAGCGGCTTGTGTAGAAATACTAGCAGAATCGGAGTACTAAGAAGGCGTGAGGCGAGGGATCGCGTAAGAGATGGGAAAACTAGCAGATTAACCAAACATCCCATGATGACTTATTGATGTTAAGCGGACACCCGAAAGTCCAAACGTTAAAAGACATAAACGTCACCGCTTTGATCAAATTATGATTTCCACTAGCATCGCGCTATTTATTTATCCATGCTTTGTCGAGAAATCCTGTTCAAGGTATGTGTATTTAATATAACTAACTTGCTGTCAATCTAAGAATCATATCCATATAAAAGTGCTTAATGAAGTAGAAAAATAAACGGGAAGCTTTATCGTCCAAATTGATATATATTTATCACGGGCAANCACGGGCAAATTGATCACGTTCGCTCCATGCGAATGCGGGATTTTCAACTTAGCTGCGAATCAACGGAATCAACGGAGCGTTCAAGCGGAATTATAATACAAGAAAACAAAACGTGTTGATATACCCAAGTGATGTTATCGGTTTGTTGATTTTTTGTGTCAGGATGTTTTGTTAGCTAATAACGTTTCCAACACATCATGATTATACAAAGTTTATTATCTGTGAGAAGTTATATCTTGTGTTTATCATAAATTATATAATATCGACGTTTAGTATAATTAAATAAATAAATAAATCTAAAACAGTTGGCTGTCACATACTGCGTTTGTTTTGATGCATGTTTATCATCTGGTGCATCCGTGAACTAACCGATTATCTGTATGCTCATTATTCCTCACCGGTGTTGCCTTATTCAAAATGAAATAATTTATCTGTTTATCTGCACTTGTCATTCTAACAAACAATGTTGTACCGTGAACAAACTGATCTTCTATATATCTTAGCATAGACGTGACAAACGCCGTCGCCATGATTAGCAAAAAAATCGCTGTTCTCTTCTTCGTTGTGTTGTTCCCGGCTTGACTAGCGCAATGCTGCCGCGAAGGGGGTTGGTGCCGGTGGATAGGACGCGCGAATTCTTTTTGGACTTGTGGTCTTGAATATGTATCGATCAAATAATAAACTTCACTCAGACCAAGATCGAATGCTGAATGAAGTTCTATAGAGCACGTTGTCAACACATGTTGCGTGACCCTCACCACTGTGGTCAGCACCACTAGAACTGGGCTCGCTATAGTGAGTTTATTCTAACCAGGTAGCAAATCTGGAGCAGGGTGGTATTTTTCTATCAATTTTGTTAGTTTATTAGTATAAGCAAACTCCCAGTTAAGTCATGTTGATAAAAATTGATTTTATGGAATATATACTGTGTCCGAAATGTTTTTGAAATCAATGGTGTATTACTCGATTCACAAAATTGCATACCGATAAATACTTTTCTGTATAGAAAATCAAAGCTGTGCCCTTTCCAGCTGCCTTCGCAAAAGGACTCATATCTATGCCTTCCTGGTGCTTCTGGTTGCTAACTAATTTTTAAAAAATTACAACGGCTGTATTTGTTTTATGGAAAACACGCACGGTATAAAGAACAAATTTCTCTTTCACTAAGGCGAAAATTATCACAATGAGATTATTGATTGTGTTTGTGTGCAACAACGGGTATAATTTCACGGGCACACTCAGGGTTGCGGGGGTGTATGTGCAATGGGAGGAGGGTCACTCCATCAACGAATGATAATCTTTCTTGTCTTTTGTTTACCTTTATCCCCCCTTGAATAGGCAATTATCTACTGTATCTACTGTTGCTTGATAGTACAGAATTGCTGTGTACTGTGTTCTTTCCTAAATCGATCAGTTATTACGATCCGATGATTTTTTCCAGGCCACGAACAGACCGATTATCCGGAATGTGTGTGAGTGCGTGTTTGCGTCCTAGATTGCCTTAAAGAGGACAAGGGGAATCATTCAATCGATTTTCTTTGAATGGATTGAACGGTGATTCGCCAGAATATATTTAGTACTTCTTCACATATTTGCCCTTCGTCTCATCAGATTGAAATGAATTAGGGAATGTGAATGAGAATAGAATAGCTTGGCTCAGCGTTTTCTTTGTTTTTTTTCCGGTCCCCACTCAGCGTACCACCGTTCAGTTGCTGTTTATTGGGCAAATCAGTATGTAACTGGACAGGAAAATTATGTTTCCGTGAAAGTGATGTATATACCGACGGTTGGAATCTGATAGGATAACCGCATCTATTCTTTGCAACTGAAATTGAACTACTAAAAACAATTATTCTGGTGGATTGCCCATAAATGAGGTATGAAGTACTCTTCATCGGTGGTCAATTAGTGCCTTGGTGAGTGTCAATTGCTCAGTGAACTATGGTATGCTGTCTTACTTAAGAAAAAATAATATATAAAATGAAACTTCGAATTAAAACATCACACGATTTTTTCGAGTCGTGATGAGTATTAGTGTTTCACCAAATGTACGCATGTTACTCGGAAAGAGCGAAAAACAAGGAAAAAAATCAGCCACTCATCTGTTGGTGTCCTCCTGAAATTTTTGGCCAGGAAAGAGGACGAAATGCATGCAGGTCGATTGGATAAATCACGATGATCAATACAATCGGTGCACCATTTGTTTTTGTTAAACATTCAAAATACGTTTTTGAAGTCGAAATATAGGAATTTATTCGTTCGTTTCGTGCGGAAATTAAGGGGTTCTACATAAAATGACAAATAGGCACGTCTACGGGGGTCAAACAAACTGCAAAATGTTTTGTCCTGTTAACCAAACTGATTTTCATGAAATTCGTTGTTTTAGGAGTACGACTTATAACCATTACCTGTCGTGTGACTCGTAGTATGTGTAACACATGGGCAGTCCCTTAAAAAGGTTGTTCATTCTATTAAGAATTATTCTGGGAACTTCTTATTTAATATGGGAAGGACGTTTTCACCGGAGTTACAGGTTGAAAGGTGTTTACCGGTGTCAGCTGGGATACCCTAAACCCCATCCTCTCACGGAGAGGTATACGAACTGGTGCTAGGTTATTCGGCAAATTGTGACCATACTGACCGAGCGAGCAAGCGCATGAAGTACCCTGCCAATCTTTCTCAGCGAAAACAAGTATAAGATTCAAAACATATGCAATTCAAGAGGTAACCTACGGCTTTATATTTCAAGCTTCATGTGCATCTTCCTCATTTTAGCCACTGGTGCAGTGAACGAAAATAAAAGAAGATTAACCTCGACTTTATGGAGCACCTTGATCGATTAAAAGCGATGGTAACGTGAACTAAAACGCTCGTAATGTATGTACATTTGTTTTGTCTTTGATGAGTTTCATCTGCAATGTAAACCCATCGGCCAAGGACGAGACAGCTATCCGGAACTTCAGTGTACATTTTTTTAATTTTACACAAGCTGAAGTTACCAATAAAATGGATTTGAGTTCCTCATTTCTTCCCTTGGAGAAAAAGTTCTGTTCAGAATGTTTCCGACCAATTTCATGTGTCGAGATGCACAAGACTATATGCCCAAAACAAACTTGAAAAAATGGATTGTACTGTATTGTATATAGACAAAACGAGCCTTCTTAAAAAGCCAATCAATAGTCACGAGAGTTTCCGGGTGCAAAATTGGCTCCTAAGTTGAATCAATATATTTACGCCGCTAATGAGACCACCAACGTTGAATGAACCTTATATTCTCCAATAACATTTCGCGTTATTTATCCTTTCACAGTCCCAGAGACTTTACTGCTTGCAAGTATGCTAATGATATTATGATTGGTTGCTCATCCCCGAGTTCAGACAGCTTTTGGCCTCTCCAGGAAGGCATCAAAGAAATTCACGATTTTCTTTGCCTTCATCCACTGAAATTAACATCAAAAAGTGCATCGACGTTGCATTTAGTCCTAAAACCGGACATTGTTATCTTCCATTGGTAAGTAATGGCCCCGAACTCAGTTACCAATTAAAGCATTTCCCAATCTGTTCCTGTTAGATGCCTTGATGTCAGCTTTACCCATTACCTGTCCTGTTCTGCGCATGTCATTAGCGTTTTTACAAAAGTTCGACAACTGTCTTTTTATGCCCACAGGCTCAGGATACTGGCCGTACCACAATCTTATTCTTAAATTTGTGATTGCCTGCCTCGTTCCACAATGGTTATACTGTTTGTTAATATTTATCTCTAATCTGAAAGAAAAAGATTTCATTTGGTTTTCTATAGATCCCTTCAAACTTTGTTCCGATAAAGTGGAGTTGATCGAGTTGTTTCGGTTGAGTTTTACATCTCCAAGCATTTGAGGCATATATACATTTATTGATAGGATAACACGTGATCAAGGGCACTGTCTGCAGCAGTAAATCGTGAAAGCCGTGTGAAATCCCCTAACCCACCCGAAATATCAACTCCCTCCTGCGCGTACGTTCTCATACAGATAAAGAGTGATTTTGCACCTTGGTCAGCTATTG